ACTATCTATAGCTGCTAATTCAGGTCACATTAAACGGCTCTTCCTCACCTCTCGGCTCGTCCCTGTTCTGCTGAAAGCTCCTCGCCGTAAAACCCGCTGCTGCCCCTTTCCCCTGTCAAGGGTGATGGTTTGTCGCGCGCATTTGCATTTAGAAGCCGGATTTCATCCTGAATAATTGCACTTCATTTCTGAGTGACCCGATGTAAAGCAAGCCCCTTTTAAAGCTTCTCTCATGGCAAGTTTATGAGGCGTTACTACGTTTTCTTAACATTTTTCACCTTGCAGTCGCTTTTATTTCCCACTGGGGCGGTGACAGGTGAAGGCACTGCGACCCCAGGAAAGCGAGCCGGAGGACGGCCGAGGCCGGGCTCACGGCTGCCTCTGTGGGGTTTGCTCACCGGTGGGTGGGATGCAACCGCGCTCCTGTCCCCTCGCCCCCGGCGAGGGACTAAAGGCTCCCACCGCCCAGGGAAACTCAAAGGGGAGAAGGATGGAAATGGAGGCTCCTACCTGGGGGGCTGCTCTTCCTCAGCTGAGCAAAATGAGCCTCACGTTTTATTTACAAAGCCGTGGTGGATGCCACCTAGTTAGCATTATAGAGCTGATTCCTCACATGCTTTTTTTATTATGCAGCTTGGCGGCTGCTGTGTGAGACTGCGGAATATTTTACTGCTTTGTGGCTCACATTCAATATGGCAAAAAAAAAGGAAAAGTTGACAAAAATCCTGCTTTTTTTTTTTTTTAAAATGTGTCTTTGTTTTCAACAGCCCTCCTGCTGTGACAAAACTGTTAATTAAACTGAAACTAAAATAAATTAAGCTCACCTAATATGAAAAGCATTTGAAGGCAAAGCCTGGCCGGGGTAGGAGGTGGATCTGCCTGCCCCTCCTGAACCTCCTGCCCATGGGTGCCGGCAGACGCCACTGTGGTGGCACCGGCAGGGCACAGCGTCCCGGCTGCCGTGGGCACGCAGGGCAAAAAAATGAGACTTTTGGCTCCTGTGTCAAACAGAGCACAATTTTACAGGCTCAGTCAGCCAGCTTGTGGCCTGTCCAGACCAGAACTATAGATAATTTATTATTATTGTTATTATGAAAACACAATAAAAAATGGCTCTAAAGACCTAATTGCAATGGCCCAGTGTATCTCCATCTACCTTTAAGTCCAGTTGAGGGTACTGATTATTCTGGAGGGAAAAACCCCACCAGCACCACCAGCCGTGGGCATTCCCGCCTCCAGCTTGCCTTTCAAACCTGCGGGGGCTGATATCTGTAAATACCTTGCACCGCCCCTCCCACCCCACCCCAGCCCCTGTAACCCCCTCTCCGGCCCGGCCACGTACCTATAAATAAAAGAAAGGGCACGCCTGGCCGAGGCGCGGTGCCTACTTTGATGTGCAGTAATGAACTTCGCTTTTAATTCAGGGTTGTAACTTCCATCCCGACGCAAAACTGGGAGCTGCGGAAAAGCTGCATGCATAATAAGGGGTGAAAGCAAGGATGCGGCGCGAGATGTGTCTGATGTTGGATGAGAGGGAAGATAGCCTTTAATCATTTTGTTTTCAAAGAAGCTTTAGAGAGCTCTTTGAAGATGAGACTTTTTGAGAGCTGCTTCTGGAAAATAGGAGGCAGCGATACGCGACGCCCACCTTCTGCCCACGTCCACCCGCCCCCTCGGTTAAGCTGCACGTGGGACATCATAGACACGTGCAGGCATCCCTGCCTTCATCCCACGGCTCTCGAGGCTGACAGCCAGTACGCTTCGGCAAAGCCGAGCTGATTTAGTGCGGCCCGGGGGGGTGAGGCCCTGATGGCTAGAGCAGCAAGGAAAAATGGCCCCGGTGTCTTTTCATTTGAGGTCATCACGGCTCCTCAGCACGCAGAGGCAGGCGAGCTAAGGGAGCCAGTAGCTAGAACAGAATGTCCGACCTCCCTTTATTATAATATTTTTGTAACGGTAATGTTCTGTAAATCATGTCTCACTATCGTTAGCTGAAAGGGAATGATAATGAACATCTGATCAGACTTTATTTTAAGGAAAAGCATCATGATGGAGAGGTGTGGAAGCTGTGCCTGTCCTGTGTGTAGCACAGCATTTGGGGTGGGAGAAGGCGAGAGCTGTGTCACCCATCCGCTGCAGTCAGGCTGTACGGAACCGAATTCTTTATGCACTGGGATCCCACACAGCGGGCTTGTTCACCTGCATCCAAAGGCACCGAGGGATTGAACGTCATCTGAACATCCCCGGCGGGGGCGGGCGGATGAGCGCTGCTCACCAACACTCAGTGGTGCCGATAACACATCTGGCTTTATTTTGAGGACCGAGGTCAGGATGCTGTTGTGTTAAATGCATCACGGCTCCTTGCTCCAAAAATGTTGCAGTCTGAGAGGAAAAGCCCGGGGGAATGGGTGTGCCAGCAGTCCTATTTTTACCAAGTGGTTTGGCCTTGGTAAAACAACAGCCAGGCCGGCAAGTGACTGCAGGCTGTTGGGTGGTTGGTGGCATGGGTTGCCCCTAAGCAATATTGTGCTGAGCGTGGTATTACTGGTCTCGTCAGTGGTTTTGTACATCTGGGTCTTCTCTCGTGTTTTGTAAAGTAAGTAAGTGTGTGCTGGTATTTGAGGCTATTTACAGATGCCACAGTGCCATGACAAAACATGTCTATGAAACAGCCAAAATAAACAAATTACTTCCCGGACAAGGAACCAGCCCCCACCCATTGGCATTGCAAGGGGCCTTGCTCTTGCTGGTGTAAGAATGCACGGAGAAGCGGACAAACGGCAACACATCGGCAGCCCTCCACGTGACGCCGGGTGGAGGAGCTGGGCTCTGCCTCCATGCGTGGCACTATCCCCGCAGCCGTGGCTTCACCCAGCCAGGTCCTTAGGTGCCCAGCCCACCTCCCTTCAGTTTGTGAAGTTAAACTGCACAAAGATTTTTCAGATCTCGAGTTCTGGCCAGTGTATGGCTTTAAAAAATGTACTTTCCAGTCCCTTCAGAAAATGAAAAAGCAACCCCAAGCCCCCCATCTCCAAATTTGCTGCTGTCCTTGATACAAATTCTGCAAATGTTTTCTGCAGAAATCTCCACTCCTGTACATACAGCCCCAAGACACTATTATTTTCAGACTGTGTGCCCATACCAGCATCTTGAAGGTTAAAAGTCTGAAAGGCCCAAAGAGGTTTGGTGGGAGCTGCCCTCTGTACATTAAAACCAAAATCACTTTTCCCTCTCTGCCCTCTGGACTGCAGCAGGTACTTAAAAAATATGAGCCTTGTTTTCGGAGGTGTGAAGGCTTTGTGACAGACACTGCGGCTGGGGATGCAGCTAATAACTCCTCGCAAAACGCAGACTGTTTAGGCATTAAATGTGACATTGCATGGTAAAAGCAAGGCAAATAACTTTGGGAAGTTTAGAGACAGTGTGCTGGACTCCTATTTTTACTTCTAAGTGACGCTATGCTATTTTAGGCCAGGCCAAGCCAAGCCTTGCCTTTTTTTTAATTAGGTTTATTGCTATAGCTACATGGCAGTGTGTATGTGTTAACATTTGATTTTTGTAGCTACTGTAAGTGACTGAAATAAACAATCCAGCTCTGATAGTCCCAGTGGGGGGACTGACATTTGGATTTGGCTCAAAACTCTGCGGTTTTGATGCTTGTTAGACTCCAACACCTCACTCAGAAAGCACAAAGTGCAGTGGGAGTGGGGCTGCAGGGTAGGGCTACGTTTGCCACCTCCAACCTAATCCTCAAGCTCACGCCGAAGTGCTCCTCGGAGGTGCTCGCTGCCATCGCTGCATCGGGTTTAGCTGATGGAGGGCTCTGAAGAGGGGTGTTATAATGCCAGTAGGTATCAGTTAATGATCAGAGCTTGCAAAGTCTCCCTAGAAGGGATCGTGTGCCACCAAACCTGTACAGCCCGGCGTGGTTGTGCCTGGGTTCCCCTCCGTGTCGCACCACCCCTGCCGAGCCTGTGCGTGGGAGACAAAACCAGCAAGGACTGGGACGAAGAGGAGTGCTTTTCGGTGGGTTTGAGCAGGGAAATGTTCCTGTGGTCCAGCGGGCCAGGCTCACGCCTGCTCGCCGCACGCTCCTACCCCGCACCGTCAATCTTCTGATCCGCGAACAGGCCTTGTGGGTCGGAGAGCTGGGGGCGAGGGCTGAGGAGCAGGCAGCGGCGGCGCAGCCCCGCGCTCCCTCTGCCTCGCCCCAGCCCACCGCTCCGGGCAGCAGACGGTGCCGGCAGGGCCGGCAGCCCAGCGCCGGAGAGCTGCTGCTACGCGCCGTCGTCTGCCCCGCTGCCTGCGAAAGCACCGCACTCCCACTCCCATCAATCAGCACAGACCAGGTGCCTGGAAGCATCTCTTGCCAATCGCCTTTTATTACCTTTAAAAAGCCAAGAAACCCAGAACAAGACAAAAACTGAGACCGTGTGAACATCATGCAATGGATTCACTTTAAAGCAGGCTGGGCAGGGGGACGGGACCAGAAGCCATGTTAGAGTAGAAGTATTGCTTCACCCATGTCTGAAGGCCAGACCGGGTGGACTGTCACCGGTGGGGTGGGTGGTGACTGTTGTGAGTGGTCAGACGGATGCTGAAGCAGGAAATGGAAACACGCTCGTGAGACATCATCCCAGGTAACCCCAGATCCGATTCTCACCCAAATGCAATTTCTTACATGGTGATGACAGCGCGAACTACTCCTAACTCTCGTCATGGGTGCTTTCTGCCTAGGCAAAGTCTGTTTGGACAGGAGCGGCACAGTAATGAATACTGTTGCAAGGTTTTTTGAACTCGGTTATGTTATTTAGTGTGACTAGTACTCCGGTAGTCAATTAGCGGAGCAGATGTTATCCAGCAGGAGTGAAGTTACTGCACTCTGCCCTTCAGTCTTGCTCTGTTGTCTTCAAGATTCAGAGCCCAAACTAGAGTAATATTAGCTTCTCGAATGAATATGTTTTGGAGAGTTTCAGCTACCGTGGAAATAACTTTGCATCTTGTCCATCATGTGGATGTGACAAAACACATGCCCTTATTTTCCTAAGGTATAGCCAACATTTGAGTTCATTCCATTTAATGGAGTAGGGTCACCCATAAAGTTATTCATAAGGTATTTTCTGAGAGGTTTTCACCTTCTTTTTGAAAAAATAAATTATATCAGCATGTTCATGAGGTACAAATGGTGCTGGCATTTCAGCTGTTATTATGTTATTAACTTTTTTAACCTAATAATTTTCAATCAACAGTAAGAAGCAATTTTCACTCACTCCAGTGACCAGAGTTGGAGCTTCTGCAAAGTGTTCTCGTAGGGTTCACCTTGACAGACACCTAATTCCCTCCCAAATCAAAACATTACCCCCGACACTCTCATCGCGGTTACTGAGAATTTCCATTTCCCCTTCGGTTAGGATTTAATTTAGAAGGCAAAGACTTCCTAAGCTATGGGAGAGTAAAGATAGATGGTATGGGAGAAGAAGGCTGATGAAATGTAGTTGACTCCGGATCTGAAATATTTTATCCCTCCTCAATGTAGGTTAAATTATTCTTCACCTTTCCCACATCCATAATTGTCGCTGATCTTGGACCAACTCAAAACCCTACTACTGAGTTCAGTAGACTCAAAATTGCCACTAGAACTGGAAAAAGAAAAAAAAAAAAGAAGAGATTTGTTAGTGTCCATACACAATATCCCAAGACTATACACAGCTATGAGATACAGCAAATTTAAGAAAGGCAATTTTTTTCTCATCACTGAGTATTTATTATATATAACAAATACATGAAAAAGAAAAAACTATATTGTGTGATATAAATAGTTTATTTACATTACAGAAAAACATCAAGACAATGTATACTATTTCAAATATATCCATACATAATCAAATATAGCTGTAGTACATGTTCTCATTGGTGTAGATTACCACAAATGCAAGGCAACATGTGTAGATCTTGTCTTAATCTTTTGTCTATAATACTGTATTTTGTAGTCCAAGCTCTCTGCAGTTAGTTTTGCCATTGTGGAAACATGCGCTCTTTAAATTAACCTTGTCGATGCTCTTGTTGTGTTGTCTGAACTGTAGTGCCCTGTGTTTTGCTTCTGTCTGTGGATTCTGTTGCTCCTGGGACATTTCCTGGAAAAGAGAGTTATGAGAATACATGGCTCTTAACAATGCGTCTGCTCGAGAGGTGGCACGGGCAGCAGGGGACGTGAGGGCGAGAGAGGCATCCTCTGGCCCTCAGTGCGTTTCCTCTTCAGTGAAATGAAGTGGGCTGGCTAATGGCAATGGTACCACAACACGCCCCCCCTCCAAACCCCACAAAACATACTGTAAACAAAAATATGGCAAGGGAAATTTTAAGATTCCTGCTCCTTACTGGTGAGCAGTGGCGGCGGCTCTGCTGCGCTGCGACAGCCCCAACTGCACAGCATCTCTCATCTTCACATAACGGGTTTATTTTCAGCGAGGCACAGGAGGAGGATTTAGGATGGTCTCACGCTCACCTGCTCGGCGTCCCAGGTCTATGAAGTATTTACCAAGTGGATGGGGGGGCTGCCTTTCCGAGGAGCTAAGCATCTGCAGTCCCTATTAGTCTCCATGGAAATGCTCCATGCTCAGCTCATTAGCGAGCAGCTACTTTACTTACGGGTGCCTGCACGGCGCTACGCTCCTCACATGGCTGCTTGGCTTAGTGCGGACAGCAATCGCACTGGAAAGACCAAAATCTTATTTTCCTTTGGATGGCTGCAAAAGCAAATCTCTTCTGCCTCAGGACCTCACGGTGCTCCTCAGCAAGGGCACGCTTCAACCTTTTACCTGCAGCAGTGTCAGCTATGGGGATGCTACGGAGCGTTTCCCCGCTAATGCAAAGATAATGGCGTGTTTCTGGTTTCCTCCCCTGGAAAGGCACCCTTAGCCAGAAAGCATGGAGAAGTTTAGCCCCAGGTGGAGGCCGCAGGAAGTTCTAAGCAGCTGAAAGCCAAGGAGGTAATGGCAGAAACTGTCGGGCAAGCAGAACCACAGCAGGCTCACCAACACCCACTAAAAACGCTCGCACTTTTTGCAGTTGTGGTACCAGTAGGAAAATGGGGAGCTACAGAAAAAAAACCAGCCATAAAAATAGTGCTTTACCCAGGGTGATCTAGTTAACATTTTGCACAGGAGGAGGAACAAGCTATTCTTAATTAATTCGGCCATGCCTTTGTCCTCTTTCTTCAGCTGAAGCTCAGTAGGAGTTTTTAGCCCGGGTGCACCTCATTCTGCCCTCCGCGTGGGCAGCCACACAAGAAAGACTGAAACACCCTCTTGGAGTGGCATGACAGAAAGCCCCACAATACTCCAGACCATACTGACACAGAAGAAAATTCCCTTTGTATCGGGCTAACTTGTTTTTCTATTAAGGAAGGCTTTTAGCGGCACCTTGTGAAACCCTATGGGTTATGCCCTGGAGAAAGCCCACCCTCTCAGTGCACTGAGAGTTCAAAGCACTTGCCTTCAGCTCCATGTCAAATAACTAACAGCAAAATAGAGTGAAATAAATTTTTACTGGCCCTTTAAAATCAAAAAGGCCATTTTTCCCCCCCTGTTGAATGGGAGTGATGCTATAGCTTTGTGACGCCAACTGAAAGGCTAACCAAGAGCATAAGGACTTATGAAGCATTTCAAAACCCTGAAATACAATTATATAAGTGTCTAACAAAATATGGGTCAGATTGTCCTGACTTGCCTCACTCTTAAGCCAACGGGACCACCCCCTCATGAGAAACTGTATGGCTGTGTGCTATAATTTGCCTTGTTCCTTTCTTGGAAGCAGTAAAGTAGGCTGCTACCATTACTCCAGGAAAAATAAGCCTGCGTCTCCAGCGCTCTTGGAGGTTATGGCAGAGCTTTCATTATGAAACTAATGCAGACTTTAGCTGGTCTGTGATTTCATGACAAACTCATTATTCACTGCGTGTTCCTAAAAAGGCGATCAAACTTTCTGAGTGAGTCAGGGAGCCGTTGTTAGCAAACACAGGGCTGATTCACTGAGCCGCATGTCATGTGCACGCTGACAGCCTCCCAGCCCCGACTGTCCCCAAGCAGCCTCTCCTGCCCATTCAGCCGGAGATGGCACAGCAGGACCTCGCAGCGCTCCCTGGGAGACAGCACTGACACCTCGACACGCTGAGAGACAGCACTGCTAAATCCTGCTGCAGCAGCCGGCGGCCACACGGTGTGACCGAGCTACCAGGGGTTCCTCCTGAGTCCCAGAGGATGAGGATTTACACCAGAAGGCATAGCTCTGCTTTGCCCCAGTGCTCAGCCATGCAAAGCAGGGTTTGGGAACCAGGCGTGGGAAGCCCCAGTGGGCACAACCAGACTGGTTTTGTAAGAAACATGGAGGTACCAGGTGGCTGGGGGCTGACCAGGATGGTCAGCAATCCCAGGGGATGCAGCTGTGCATTCCTGGAGAACGGTGGATACCGACTGCTTCAGCTGGAAGCAAGGAGATGAGCATCTCACAGGCGCTTTCCCAAAACCGACACTGGCAGTATCTATACAGTTGCTTAGTCTAGGGTCAAGAGAAGTCAATTCAAATGTAGAGATTACTCCAATTAAGATGATGAAAAAGCATCTTTTAACCAAAAATGCCCATGTTTTAATTGCATAATCCACTACGCTACCAATTGATGGAAGCCTGGGAAGGCCCCAGGACCAAGTACTGACACCACGACTGTTTAAATGCAATGCTATTGCATTTACAGGTAGCCTGTGTCTGAAGTGCGGCTGGGTTTCCTAAGAGGGGCATTGGCATTTAACCAGCTTTTTAGACTTAATCATCTGCTAAAATTGAGTGACAGCTTTTATTTGGTCCTTAAGTCTTTAATCAAAAGTTCTTTGTAGAGCTCTGTGTGTGGGATGCCTTCATTTATGAACACAGCAGTTACATCAATGTAAACTAGGTACTGGAGCACAGGCTGCTTGCCCTCCCTCCATTGAAGCTTGCTCGCAAGCTTGAGTTACTCACAATGTGATTCATAGCAGGTAAAACACATTATGCATTCATTTTTAATCAAGTTATTTCTTCACATAAATAAGCTGCTGTGACTAAACATTAGGGAAGCACTAAAAATGCAAAGCTGTAAAGAAAACTGCTGAGAATCATTATGACACTAGGCCATACCTATATTATTTACCATCCTCCTTCACTTTTATCATTGCTTCTCCTTTGCGTTACCTCTAAGCTAAAAGTCCTTGGGCGTAGGGACTGTGCCTCACTGCTCCACCTCCTTCCCTCTGCACCTCTTGGCCTCTGGTCCCCTAGTCCTCCACCCCAGCCGCCTATTCCCACTGCTGGCACTAGCGATGAGTAGCCAGGTGGCCAACCTCATCAAGGAATTGAGCCACTTACTTAAAAACAAATCATTGGTTTTGTTGGTTGAGTTTTCAGCTGAATCTGTCCCCTGACCGCGTTCGTTGTGTGGCTACAGAAATGCTAATGGTGGCGCAAGAGCACTGGCAGGACCAAGTGCCCAGGAGCCAGGGGAAGGGCCAAGGGCAGACTGCCCCTGTCAGCAGCACAGCTCATTTAGTCAGATTAAAGTGTCGCTGCAACAGTGGCCCTAAAAGTGCCCAGGAATTGCTCAGAGCCTTCCAGCGATGGAGGACACCCTGTAGATTTACACCACTGCACAGGTAAGATTTTAAGAGCAACAACAGTAACGATAGCTAAAAGATTTACAGTGATAGTCTTATGTGACTCAAAGGCAGGGTTTGGACACAGTGCACCGAACTCGTTTGGTAAATTAATTAGGTCAAGCTGCACTGAAACGAGTGGAAAAGAATTTGGCTGCAGTGGCCTCTGAGTGAGTGAAGATTCCCTTCTTTCTCCCAGGATCCTGGTAGGGTGGTTTTAGCACTTTCAAGGTTCAGGGTGCGGAGTTCAAACCAGCACAGTCAGGTTCTCCAAAGCAGATGACTTCAAAAACTCAGTTACTTATGCATATGCTGCCACAATGCTCTCTTGTCATGTGGATTTCTCTTAGGCCACTTAAGAGTACACTTTTGCAAATGTATCTCGAATCATTATGTTGGGATGGAGCATGCTCTGCAGTAATTACATGCATTACAGAAAAAAGTCAAAAGATCATAAATTAACTTGGTTACAAAGTGTGCGGGAAAAAGTACCATCTATGTATGAAAACAGTGTGATGGGTAATTTGCATTACAGTACCAGATCACTCAGAGCACACTGCCTTCATTCTTCATTATAAAGTACTCTGCGTTATTGCATCAAGGTGACAAATCTAGAGTCACTTGACAAAATGATACAGAGCATTTGTTCCATTACCAGCTACTATGCCATCTTCTTTTTCTTACTACACACTACATTTTTGGTTGCTTGAATTACTTCTGTGAATACCACCGTAATCTATGGCCTCACTCGGCATTTACCATTGAGTTGATGGACTTGGCTTGGCCAAAAAAGCAACCACCTTTCATCAGATGGTTTTGTGTTATGCCTTTAGGCCAGGGAAGGGTTTATGATTTTTTTTTTCTTTGCCTTTTCCAGGAACAAATGCTACACTTGTCTTCTAGCCAGGTAGTGCAAGATAGGGACTGAAATATATTAGAGATTTCATTTTCTGCAGAGGTATGATACCTGGCTTTTTTTTTTTTTGTATTTTAAAAAGAAATTTATTTCTAAAAGAGTGATTTATCAGTGCTGCTAGCTGAATTAATTTAACCTCATGATTTCTGAGAGAAGCCCAAAGACGTCTGAAGTTCAGAATTTACCCCAAGCCCTCCCAGAGACAGTAACACAGTTCAGTGGGGAGGTAGAGCAGCACGTGTAGGAGGGGAAGGACTGCATTTACCCCTCTCATTCTGAACTACCCTGGGGCTGTCATTTACATTCAAATAACCCTTTCCTCCTCATTAAAGAAAAAAAAATAAAAATTATATATGGCTTGGTGTGCCACCATCTAGTGAAGACCTTAAACATGTGCGGTACCTTTGAACATGTATACAAGCCTAATGAAATCATTTAATCAACGGGATTGCAAACAGGCTTAAAAGTTTGTATGCTCTGCCTGATTAGGACTAAGGGAATGGGCCCTTGAGGAAACCAGATGGAGATATGATTAGTTTTATTAAGTGTTGATCCAGCTGCTGTATTTATATTCCCCTTATTTATATGAACAATATTTGTCCAAGCATCTGAATACAAAATAGGAAACTTCACTTGCTGTAGGCAGTGTTGCTACCTAAGTTTGATTAAGATGGAAGTAAAACTTCAGTCATAATAATGAAGGAGCACTGCCTGGCTGGACCAGACGATATCTTCTGTTTGTTAGTGAATTAAACAGTGTTTGTTATCAGTAGTGTCACTGCAGAAATCTGTATAATCAGCGGACAAAGCAGGAAAAACAAAAGTCTTTTCTTTTTCTATTGCAAAATACCAGAGATACTGACCTTGTAATACAGAGGACTACAACACAGATGATAGCAATCTGGATGGTTCCAATCACAGCTGCTATTAAGACATACTGAAATCTTACTGGACCTGGAACCACATATAAAACGCTGTAGTCCTTTTTTTCACAGTGTTGTCCAGTATAGCCGGCATCACATCTGAAACAAAAAAATATTTTTTCCAGTTATACCTGCTGCTTTCAAAGAATGCCGAAAAAATTATATCTGAAAAAAAAAAAAAATCAGTGGCCTAAGCATAAGCTTATGTGTTTTTTTTGCAGGACGGGCTCCCCAGAGAGAGCACTGGTGCCTCCTCGACCTCTCAGAGGGAAGACTTCAGGACCTCAGCATCACCAAGGTCTGTGAGAGTGGACGACACTGCGATAGTGCCAGGAGGTGCGCAGGGGGCTGGGACTTATCTAGCATCAAGTGGAACTACTTGCCCGTTGTGATGAGAATCCATTTAGTTCCTTGCACAACATATTTTAGATTTCTTCCTTTCTTTGGGGAGGTGGGGGAGGGTGAAAGCCATCTAGCTGTGGCTCCTTATGCAGATTACCCCTAAGGAGGTGATAAGCAATCATCTAAGCTCCATATGAAATGTGATTAGATGTTCCTGCAAGTGGATACATCATTTACATTTTGTCTGGTTGCTATAAAAAACCTTCTGTTGATGCTGCAACCATCCACCCTAATGCCGCCTGCTGCGCTGCTCACCGGTTCCCATCCTGCAGCCCGACATCTCCTCTCTGTGATTTTGGGGAACAAGCAGTGGTTTTCCCATTTTAGCTCTTGCCTTGTTTCCCCTAAAAAGCCCAAGCAAGAAAATGCAAAAATCCAGGTCAATGGCAGCAGCAACCATAAGAGACCGAGCCAGATTGCTTGGACTCCTCTCAGAAGTGTTAGTGGCGCATTAACCCTGAAGGGTTAAGCCTTGAGCTTCCACCTTTTTCCTCTCCTGCATTCCCCCAGCAGCCAGCAGCTTGAGGAAAGGACATTTTCCAGCTGAATGGAGAACCTAAAATGCAGCAGCTTGCAAAGAGCAAAATGTGCCCTGGCTGTTTGTGGGAGCTGGGAGAAGCTGGCTTAAGGATCTGCCCTGGGGGAGAAGTCTGCTCCGTATCTTTTCTCTCCCAGTCCAATGTCCCAGGCAAAATGGTGCTTCACGCGTAATAGTCCTTTTCTTTGCCAGCAGGCCTCTGGTTGGACTTCAGAAGTAATATCCCCACCTCTGCAGGGAGGCATCTGCTGCAAAACCATGTGCTTTCACTGTTACTCCTCCTCCCCACCTTAACCTCCTCCAAAGCCACCTCCTGCATGAAGGAGCCACCTTTGCCCCAGCTCGCTGCCCCACAAGCGTCACTCCTGCCATAGCAGGCACATATCCCTGGCGGCACTCCTCTCCTCCTCCTCCTCCTGAGGAGGCTACCTAGCGGCTGCCTGGGCACTTTCTGAAGTGCTTTGTAAGATCTATCCAAATATAACTGAAGGTTACTGAATGTTTTTACAATCAATTAGCGTTGTGTGTAACTCAATACACTTTTGCCACACAAAATGAGGACTTTCTGAATAATTTACGTCTAATGGGTTTTGTAGCACAAAGGGCCATGGTTACCATTAGTTTCTATAGTTTATCTAGATTAAGTGGTTTTGCAAGTCAATATTTTCATGTGTTTAGCCTTTCCTCCTTGGTAGGAGAAGGGTTACCTGCAAGACGGTTCCAGCATGTTAGTGGAGTGCTCACACTTGCCATGCATGCAGAAGCCATTGTAATGCTCTGGACAAGGGATGTAGATCCCTCTTGCACTTTCTTCCAGTTTATTTGCATTCTCTGTGAACACAGGTGAAGGGAACATTAACCTGACAATGCAGGATAAGGTGGAATGATGGATAGAACTCAACGTATAAAAGAAAGGAAAATCAGAAGAACAAGACGTGAAAGATGTTGTTTATGGGAAGCAAGAGCAAGGGTTTGCACCTTGAAACAGGTAGGCCAATGTAGATGCAAAGCTTTGCACGGTTTTCTGTCATTCTTTTGCATATCTAATTCCTGTCAAGTTACAGCAAATGAGATACCAGGAAAAATAATTTGACTATTCAAAAACTGATTACAGAATAGCACATGAAAAATGCCTGATCATTTCTGTTATCCTCTGCAGACTGTTTCCTCACACCCAGGCAAGGCTAGGAGAAAGGCTCTGGATATTTGCATGTAATATACCATTACAATATATTTGGTCATTCAACAGAACATATTCAGAAAGAAAATTTTATGGCTGAAGTAGAGGAGCTGAAGTTTATCATCAGTGCTGCACGCCTGTGCCCTGACCTCCTCCCCATCCCACAGCACGGGTACCTCTGAACTAGTCTGACTTTCTGTGCCTGCTTGTGCAGCTGTTAAATAGTCACTGAGACTACAAATCCTGGAAGATACTTCCCTCCATGTAGCCAGGAAAATGTAGGCTTCATTTTGAAACAGGTATGTGCTCAACATTTACATCACGGGCTGAAATGCAGAGCGTTACTTGCAATAAACTCACATGAATATTGTAGGCCACTGAGGTATTAATTAACCGGGTAATTTTGGCAAATTCTTCCATTTAATCAATACTTATGATATCTCAAATGGTAAAAATCCTTTTTCTGTGATAGTATCAACTAGCCACAATTAATTAAAAACAGAAGAAGAAAATCTCATGATAGATGTCTGAGGAAATGTAGTTTGCACACAAATAAGTTGAAGCGTTTGTATCTTCCAAAGGAAGTCCCCAAGTGTTAGGAAACAATTGCAATTTGTTTTCTGCCTCCAAGCCAGTCATGCCAGCAGTAGGTATGCTTAGGTATTATCCCACCTTTGGGAAAGGCGTGTGCGGCAGATCCAAGATTCAGATTTTCATAATGAATTTCTTTCCTGTCACTGTTGTCCAAGGAGAGTTTTAAGAGTCTCTAACAACTTGCACTAATAAAGTTGGTTATATTGTCCTTATGCTAAAACAGGCGAGGACAAGCTCCCAGCAAACGAGAATGACAGGGCAACCTCTACATCCCTGTAGACAGCATTAACTTCTCTTTCATTGTTAGGACCTTCAGAACCTCTGCACTACGGACCATTATTGCATCTTTTTAAATGCACATATGTTGAAGACAAACCTGTCTGCCTCTCCTGGTTCCCTGCTTACATTGGGATATCTGTGCAAGGCTGCCATGAAGGCTGTTAATGACAACGCAGTGCAGAAGCGGGCATCATGGTGCAGTGACGATTCCTGGGCTTGGGGCTGACAGCGGTCTCTGGGACAGCACAGGATAGGCTGACAGGAGGCATGTTATAGACATGGTATAACCTCCTCTGAGACCTTGCCCAGGAATTTCTGCTACTGGAAAGAGGTGGGAGCAGAAAGTCCATTTGGTCTGGTGCTAAACATTTTTGGTTACCTATTACCCTCTAGGTGAGACACTGGCTACCAGCATGTGAAATATATACATAGAGAGTTATGATCTCACCAGGACTTCATGTATGTTCCTTTTTTCCACCTGGAAATCTTCCCAGAACAGAAAAAATGTGTGCGTGATGTGTGTCAGCTATCAATGGACTTGCCCAGTGCACACAGACAGATCCCAATGTGCTTGGGACTTGTTAGACTCCATACCCATGTAGTGATCATCTATGCACCATGCCCGATGTTTTGTGGGTGTGCTGGACCGCTGCTATGGTCCACATACAAATATATTTCTGTCCAGGAAACTGCAGCAAGAAATATGGGATCCTTATTAATACACATTTTTTCTATTGTGGAAAATATTATGCCATTTCCTCCAAATCCTCCATTATCAAGAGGAAGTTTGCTTCCTTTCTGAAGAACAGGAGACTGCTCTGTGCGTGTGTGTGTTTGTGTGTGTATCTCTGATCGTTCCTTCGCAGGTACCAAGATATCACTGCGATGTCCGTGCGCCACCACCAACCAGTGTGAGAATCCCTCCTCTCTCAGATGAGCCAGCAGTGTTGCTAAAACGGTAGGATACCATTTGGTTTCTATTTTTTAAAGGCACGCTTCAGGATGGTGAGGGAAATTGTTACTTTCAGGACAGACTAATCTGCCAGGACTTGAAAAGAGGACCAGGACCTCTCCCAGACTTGCAGATGCTCTCTGTGTGTGTAGGCTGTAGGGCTGGTAAAAAGAGGAAAGATTTTTCCTCCTCCTGCAATCATGTGGGTAGAAACCGTGTTTTCTTTAAAAAGGTCTTTTCTTTAAAAGGCATAGTTTAAGTAAATCTAGGATCCTGCAGATCTTGTAATTACACCTCTAAGTGTAATGTTATGATGAAAAATGCTTTACTGAATCAAAAATGAGATGGCCCAAGCTTTGCTAGCAGTTCATACGATAAACGCTTCATATGGGAACCCTTGTCATCTGGCTTGGAAGAAACCACAAAACTTAGACACGAATTGTCTGTAGTCCCTCATTTTGACTGATGACTCCTCTAAAAGAGTTAGAGATTGAACATAAAGGAAGAGAGGGGAAAAAAACCTTGTATTTAGTTTGATCTGCCATTTTGGTCATTTGAACGACAGACCACAATGAAAGCATCATTCACGTCAGAAAATAAGTTCCCCTCCTCTTGCAGCACATTTTGAATTCACCCCAAATAACCCCCCTGCCTCAAAACAGGTTATTTTTCTCATTACACAAAACATCTTTTCAGATTCAAAATAGAGACCCAAACACCAAGATATGCTTTAAAAGTTCCTTTATGTTAAAGCCGATTGCTCTCTTTCCCGAAGGATGTGAGCACTTTTCAGCAATCCAGCCATCGATGAGATACTGTCATGAATGAATCACAGGGTTTACATCACTATGAAACAAGAACTATAAATCATTTCTAAAAAGAGAGGATATGAATAAAAAAAAAGTTTAAATTATGAATCAAATAAGAACTGTACAAAGTTTAAAAAAATAAAACTAAATGAAATAAATTAAGACTTCCCCCCTTATTATAATCTCGGATAATTTATAAATTCAGTACTGGAGGCAATCTGCACTAATCAGATTATAGTATCACTAAACTAAGGAGCCCCTCTACCCCACCAACCTTATGCCTACAGAGAGTAAAGCTTAAATACAAAGTTACCCACTTTTTTCCAAGCACAGCAGATTAGTATTCATAAAGCGATGACAGAGACCAAATTCAAAGTTAGTCAGGTTTCAGTAATGTTGAATTAAGTAGCTCCTCTTCAAACATTAGACTTGCTGCATTGTTATTTACAACTATGTGTGCAAGTTTTATTTGCACGAAAAAGACAGATCTGTGCCTTTTTGTGATGGCTGGAATTTGAGACAGAAGCTGTAAAGCCTAAAGATAAAAATTGGACCGACTGGGTCAGTCTCTCCTATCTGGACAAACATAATTCCCGCCACATTTCTCAGAATTGTTCTCCTTTTTATTGTAAAAAGAAATACATCTTCACCCTCCAGATCAACTGCATTTAGAAACATTTTTCTTGAAGCATTTTTCTGATAGAAAATGTCACTTTGATGAAGCCAACATCTTTTGCATTTCTGCAACATTTTTTGCATCTTTAGCCTAACATGGCATTTCATATTGTTCACATCTTTTGTTAGTGCCAGAACATGACATGATAGCCTATCATATAAGATATACTAGTCAAAACAGATTATTTTTAAATGCATTGAGGACAGACGCTACTTTGTGTAGACTGAAACAGCTTATCATCTTGCTTACTAGAAGAGTCTCCCAGTTGAACACTTGCTCTCCAACCTTTCTGTGGATGGCAGGGAGATGCCAAGACGATGAGCTATTTTGCTGGGGTAAGAAAATGGATCCTGAAAAGTTATCCAGTGCGACTGACCACCCACTCAGTGATCTTGCTTTTCCTGATGGATTATCTTCTGAAATGTTAAATAAATTATTTAAAGCTATCTTGTCTAAATTCCTTAGTATCTATGGGTGTTCCCATCTTCTGTTAAGAAGGAGTGGAAGAATTATTTCAAATATATTTTGTATTCTTTTTAATTTCTGGTTTAGCTATATGCCTTTTCTTCAGTTTTTGGAAGCGGAATGTGCACCATTAGGCTTCTCAGGAAAATAATTCAGTGAAGGCTGAAATTCAAAAGCCAAAACAGCCTGCCTAGTTGCAGGACCTGACTCTGCAAGTGATGAAAACAATGCAGCCAGATTCTTCTCTGGGCAGCCCTCACCGGTCCCCAGCTCTCATCTGGGCTAGTGTGGATCTTCTGTTACACAACTGAACATGTGGAGTAGTGCTGCTGACAAACGAATAAATCCATTAGTGCCCTTGATGAGGATTATATGAAGTACTGCCTAGAGTGCCCAGCAAATTCTTTCCAGACGTAAGTTCCTGCAAGCCACTTTGGATAAATTAGATAAAAATCTAGGCAAAAAAAAAGGGTTCTTACATTCAAAAATTGACTGTCAGGCACTTCACAATCAGTTCTGCAGGGCTGATAATTCTGTCATTCTTTATGTTTGAATCAGTGAGACCTTCCAGGTGATTTCAGGCAAGCAAAGTAGAGGCCCACAGCCTGTAAATTCTCATGTTAGCATTTTCACTGTTGTGCAGCGTGTAATGTTGGAGCTTATGGAAAGAATAACTGATAGATTATGCCCATATAAGAAAATATTGGCTCATTTACGTTGTCAATACCTAGTGTACAGTCATCACTGGACCAAGGGAGGTCCTGAAAATATACATATATACACATATATTTCATCAAATAAGGGATGAGATGGTGAATGATGTGCAGCAGAAGCTATTTTGACACCTATCTCGTTGGAAACAGTGGTTAAGGAGAA